TACTCAGGACATTGACTGACTAGCAGATAAGCCATGGACAAAACCAGCCCCTGCTAGGGTAATAGGGAGAAGACTTTTCCCAATGCTTCAAGCCCCACAGTAGGCTACTCCACGTTAGGAATGTGAGCGAAGTAAATTCACTCCAGTTTCTTTTGCTTCGCCTCTCCCATGCATTGGGACCTGTCTCCCCCACCCCTCTCCTGAATAAGACTCATCCCATCTCCATAGTCCCATGCTGCTGAGCATCCACTTGTTCCCAGTGCACCAACAGCATCCTGCTTCTTACACAAGGTTCCTTTGGGCTTGATGAGTTAAATGCACAAAAGAAGTTAGATGCCTAAGTGCCTAGTTTAGGTGCCTAAGTCCTGGTTTTGGCACCGTGATGTACAACCCTCCTACCCCCTCAACCCTGTAAGTGCCTAAACATACTTGGCACCTAAGTTTTTGCAGTAAAAGTTCCCTAGGTGCCTAGGTTTCTGCCTCTGGGCCTGGGCATTGCTGCCTCCCTCTAGGTGTCCATCTCCCACCTAAGCACCAGAATGATTCACCAACCAGGAGACAATAGGTGTTTGGCTGCTTAAGTAGCGTGCGGGGCCTAATCCAGTGAGCGAATTTAGAGGCTGCCTACCAAATCGGATCCCCTTTAAGGCAAGCTTACACAAAATGGCCAGAGGACCTCTTCCCTCACAAATTTTACAGCCCAGTGATTAGGGTACGCATCCAGGATGTGGGAGATCCCCAGTTAAAGTCTCCCTCTGCTTGAGGGGGAGAAGGGATCTGAACTGGGATCTGTCACCTCTCCGGTCAGTGTTCTTACCACTGGGATACAGAATATTGTGACATTGGGGGAGGGGGGGAGGGGTCAGCCTCTCCTATTGAAGCTGTTGCACTCTGGATAAATACCCATTGGAGCAGGGGAACTGGATCCTGGATCTCCCACACTCGCTCACTCTCAGAGAGTCATTTAGGCCAGAGAGCGAGTGAATTGGCCAGTCCTCACGGTGCCAAGCACCTGGGGATTAGCAAGTATTTAAAGGATTAACCCAAGTCTTGAATACTGAGGCTGATCTCTAGTATCCCACTTAGGTTCTAGCCGTCTGCCAGCTCCTTCTTCCATTATGAGAAAATGGAGGCTGTGCTCAGCCCTGTCTGTTTCAAAACCATAGCTGCTCTTTATTTTATTCACTCAAAGAAACTAAGATAGAAAAATGAGATGGGGTGGAGTAGCCATAAGCAGAATTGCTATATACCTGGCACGTGCTGGGCCTGTATAAATGGTTTGCAGACGGGAAATACACAGTGAAAGTGAGTTGAAAGGATTTCTCCTCCCCTCCATGCAGACTGCCATCTGAGAGGAACTGAACTGAATTTAACAGCTCCAAAATGGAAGTCCACGAAGGCAGCAAACACTTCACACCATGAGCGAGACAAGACCCCACACACCCATGGGCTCACGTACACAGGGGCCGTAGCTGCCTCTGATCTTGCTCTTAGTGTTGTGCTCAGAGCCTCTTAATCCAAGAGCAGGTCTGAGCTTTAATATTGAGAGAGATCCAACTGAGAGAAATGAGTAGATGCAGCTTTTGCAGACAGTTGTCTTCACTCTTCCCATTGAGGAGGGTGGGCGAAATTCCTTGGGTAAACCTGCCTGTCAATGAGATGGTTATGGGGACGTGAAATTCATTTATACATTGTGGATTCAAATCCCAGTAAATCACTAGTGATCCAAATCCGAAACCAGTTGATAGCTGGTTTGGATGTATGTGGGTGTGGTGGTTCCATTTCCTTGTAGACTGGTGCCCACATCACAGAAAACACCTTCACATTTCCCTCCCACTAACTCTAGAGAGTCTCTACAAAGAGGTCCAATGGTCAAGGAGACTGAACAGCAGTTTCTAGATGGGTGCCCTCAAGGCTAAGCTTAGAGGGTGTTGGCTTGGCAATGCAGGAGAAGTTTTTTTCTCTTAGTCTCCAATGGGGTGAGTTGATGTGCAGGAATGTGATTTCCCTCTAAAACGATAACTGAGAGCCCTGTGATTTAACACTTTCAAGGCATCTACAGTGCCACTGGGCAGGAACTGAACAGTATGCCTCGCATCATACTGCAATACTCCCATTCGCATCATGGCATCCCAGCTTACCTTCTTGGGGACCATGCTGGCACTGGAATGTTTTCCTTTATTGTGGCTTCCTCTATTTATTTTATTCCTCTCCCAAATCAGGGTGAAACTTGCCTTTTCCTATTCTCAGATGTTCCAGTAGGTTGCATTGTAAGAATTGCACAGGTTTCTAGGTCTTGGAGTTCCAGTCCTTTTCTCTTCAAACTTCTCTTGCAAGCCTTTCCCCATTGTATCCTTGGTCTTTTCCAGACCTTCTTGCAGTCTTCTTCCTCCTATGCTTTCTTTGCTGGTGGTTCTTCTCTCATTCTTAACACATCTCCAGCCCACCTCAAATGTGGACTCCAACCTATCACGGAGAGTCCCAAGTTCATCTGCCCCTTAATTTCTTCCATATACATTGTGTACCCCCACTTGCCTGCCATTCTGCTTAGTCTATTTTCTACTACCTGTATCTTCTTTTCTTCCATCTCTGTCAGACACAATGTTTTTAAACCACAGAGCCTGCAGTCACAAACACAAGCAGTGTACACTATTCCTTTCAGTCTGTTACTTAATGGCCAGTCTCACAGTATTCCCGCCGCCTTTTTCATGTCTGCCCATGCACGCTGGGTTCTACTTTTCAATGTTTCAGATCTCCCTCCAGTGGCACTAAGTGTATATCACAAATTCATTTTTCTGCGTCAGCTTCTCTGTTGGAACAACTCACGTCAAACAACAACTCTTCTTCCATATTCCCGACTTCTATAACTTTTTTTTGTATCTACTTCAATCCATGGTCTTCAAACACAGATGCCCACTGATACCATATTTACCAAATTCTTCTTTGCTGTCAGCCAAAAGTGCCAGATCACCTGCATACATTCACTTTCTCTGTCTCCCCACAGGCATGATTCTTCTACTACTAACTTCATAACTACTATGAAGAGAGACGGACTCAGCACCCTGCCTTGTCTCAATCCCACTGTCATCTGAAAACTCTCCAAAATTCCGTGTTTTGTTATCACCTTAGTTTAACAGGTGTCCTCTAATCAGTCTTTCTTAAAGTGTTATCAGTTCTTACTGAATGTTTGTAATGCTTGCATAATCCACTACCATAGAGGTACTTACAGCACTTGTCTGTGGGGGTGAAATGACATGTAGCGTGCAGGGAAGACAGGCGGTATGTTACTGAAGAACATAGGGACTTGGGATTTTGTTGGGGGTGGAGGCAATGATGTGTTTGATCACTGACTCTTCTTGTTCCGTGCTTGTTTGCTGTCTTGCTGGAGGTCATTCTTGTAGACTGTGCTGACTAGTAATTGGCACTAGCGTGCTGGAGATCTGTGCTCAATGCATCCTATGCATGCCTGCCTAGTGCGAAGACATTTTCACGCTCACATTACCTGCTCTTGATTCCACAATGTGCCAAGAATGTGCTGATACAAGACTTGATAACGGTAATATAATTAATGCAAATCAACATGGATTTATGGAAAATAGATCCTGACAAACTAACTTGTAATATCATAAAAAAAAGTTATCCAGTTTGGTTGATAAAGGTAATAGGGTTGATGCAATACACTTAGACTTCGGTAAGGTGTTTGACTTGGTACCTCATGACATTCTGATTAAAAAACGAGAGAGAGATGTAAAATTAACATGGCACACATTAAATGGATTTAAAATTGGCTAATGGATAGATCTCAAAATGGGAATTGTCATTGAGCAGATGTATTTCCAGTGGGATCTGTTCTTTTCCCTACACTATTTCACATATTTATTGATCTTTTCCCCCAAACTATTTAACATATTTATTCATGACCTGGAAGTAAACATAAAATTATCACTGATAAAGTTTGCAGATGACACAAAACCTGGGGGGATGGTAAATAATGAAGAGCACAGCTGACTGATTCAGAGTGATCTGGATCGCTTTGTAAGCTGGGCGCAAGCAAACCATATGCATTTGACTATGGCTAAATGTAATTGTATACATCTAGGAACAAAGACTGCAGGCCATACTTACTGCATGGGGGACTCTATCCTGGCAAGCTGTGACTCTGAAAAAGATTTGGGAAGTGTGGTAGATAATCAAATGATCATGAGCTCCCAATGTGACATTGTGGCCAAAACAGCTAATGTGATCCTTGGATGCATAAATTCTCGAGCAAGGGCAGAGAGGTTATTTTACCTCTTATATTTGGTGTGACAGCTGCTGGAATACTGTGTCCAGTTCTGGTGCCCAGAAGGTTATTGATAAAATTGGATAGAGTTCAGGAAGATCCATGAGAATAATTAAAGGATTAGAAAACATGCCTTATAGTAATAGACTCAAGCAGCTCAACCTAAAGGTTAAAGGGTGATTTGATTACAGTCTGGAAGTATCTACCTGGGAAAGAAATAATTAATAATGGGCTCTCCAATCTAGCAGAGAAAGGTATCAAATGATCCAATGGCTGGAAGTTGAAGGTAGCCAAATTCAGACTGGAAATAAGCTGCACATTTTTAACAGAGAGTAATTAGTCATTGGAAAAATTTACCAAGGGTCATTGTGGAGTCTCCATCACTGTCAAGGTTCCTTCCCCACTCTGAACGCTAGGGTACAGATGCGGGGACTTGCATGAAAACCTCCTAAGCTTACTTTTACCAGCTTAGGTTAAAACTTCCCCAAGGTACAAATTAATTTTACCCTTTGCCCTTGGATTTCCACTGCCACCACCAAACTTTATCTGGGTTCCTGAAAAAAAAAAAAACGGAGTTTGGACACGTCTTTCCCCCCAAAATCCTCCCAACCCTTGCACCCCACTTCCTGGGGAAGGTTTGGTAAAAATCCTCACCAATTTGCATAAGTGTCCACGGACCCAAACCCTTGGATCTTAAGAACAATGAAAAAGCATTCAGTTTTCTTACAAGACGACTTTTAATAGAAGTAAAGGAATCACCTCTGTAAAATCAGGATGGTAGATACCTTACAGGGTAATTAGATTCAAAACACAGAGAATCCCTCTAGGCAAAACCTTAAGTTACAAAACAGACACACAGATAGGAATATTCATTCTATTCAGCACAGCTATTTTCTCAGCCATTTAAAGAAATCATAATCTAACACATACCTAGCTAGATTACTTACTAAGTTCTAAGACTCCAATTCCTGTTCTGTCTCCGGCAAAAGCATCACACAGACAGACCCAAACACTTTGTTTTTCTCCCTCCTCCCAGCTTTTGAAAGTATCTCGTCTCCTCATTGGTCATTTTGGTCAGGTGCCAGCAAGGTTACCTTTAGCTTCTTAACCCTTTACAGGTGAGAGGATTTTTCCTCTGGCCAGGAGGGATTTTAAAGGTGTTTACCCTTCCCTTTATATTTATGACAATCACTGACCAATTTTAAATCAGGATTGGATGCTGTTCAAAAAGTTATGCTCTAGGAATTATCTTGGGGAAGTTCTATGGCCTGTGTTATACAGGAGGTCAGACTAGATGAGCACAATGGCCCCTTCTGGCCTTGGAATCTAGGAATAAGCATCTACTGGACCAGGGTCTCTCATCCTGTCCTATGGAGTGTAACATGTGACACCCTCATCTGCTTCCTTCATGCCCCAAGAGATCCAGTTTACCCTTGTTTACTCTCCATCATATTCTAGTGCAAGAAAACACTGGGGATAATTTTTCCTTTCTTCAGGGTTCTCTGACCCCTGAAACAGTTATTCATAAGCAAAAGGCAAAAGGTTAAAGTTTCCTTTATAGAAAACAATATAAAATGTGTGCATTGTACTTCGACTGCTTCCCTGATGTACAAAATGTCTCTGTAGACTAAATCCTTACATTGTATATCTGTCTTCCTGTCAGCAAATTTTCATTATGAAAGTATTCTAGGATTTTTTTTTTTTTTTTAACAAAACAACTTGTGTTTCTTTTTTCATTAGCAGGAATGCAAGAGCATCAGGTTTGACATACTGACTCCCTGGGACCACTTCAAAGCCAGCAGAGGTGAAAGAACTCTGCATCCTCTTGTGAAAGAGTAGTTAAGTTCTGTGCAGGTTTATTTTGTGCAGGTCAGTCACATGAGACCATGGCGAAGGTCCTGTCCACCTCAGGCAGGCACCGAAGATCCTCAGGCATTACTTTGTGAGGATAGGGAATGTTGTGTCTGATGGCCTCCAGCCAAAATTTCCTCTCTTCTTCACCGTACAGCAAGGTCTGTGCGAGTTGGCTGCTGCCCTTCACCCCAAAAGCAGATGCATTTCTGCCATGTCGTTATATAGAAGGTTAAGTCCTTTTGGAATATTCAAGATGAAACAATATATAAATAAGATATTATGGAAGCTTCGTGATCTGGAATACATTTGCTTCTGTAGACTTATACATTAATGGGCTCCACATGGGTCCAGATGCCAGAGGTTTGTGCAAGCAGATATAACTGCAGGCTTGGGCCATACTGGATATTGTCCTAGTCACAAATTAAACCTCAAATTTAATGATCGTTTGACAGCGTCTGGTATACCAGTTCACAACTCTAAATCCAGGCTACTTGGACAAATATTTGGCTCAGATGCATGAGTACAGTGTATTAAAAATAAATAAGAATTTGTCAATATGGCTTACAAATGCCACCTAGACTACGTTTTTTTTAATTTAGCTACATACATAGGCCCCCATGCTTTCCCCCTTGCTGGAAGCACTAAAAGTTCATGTGGCTGGACACCAGCAACCAGAGTGAACTCATCGGAAATGACATTGGCCAGTTCACTTATATCTACAGGCAGAACATTACTGCAGGAGTTTAGGATATGACTGATTACGTCACTGTTTTCTGCCTTCGAGAGAGTGCATGTAGAATAGACCACAGATCCTCCAGGACACAAGGCTTTAATGGCAGACCTGTAAGTAACCAAAAAAACCCAAATTTAGATCTCTCAGAGTTATTAAACATAACCAAATGGGGGAGTAGGGGACCACCAAAAAAAACCCCAAAACACCACACCTACAGGAAATAAACCTTCATCAAATTGTCATAACTGAGCATTTCATTGATAATCAGGTAATTACCTGTGTTATGTTCTGCTCTCTCATTTAAGTGTGTATTTTCAAAGTACCCTATGATATTCTTAAAGGCATATAATAATTTACAAGTAGCATTTTAATATATGATTCCAAGCGTACTTCAGAATGATCATCTTACCAACGCTTAACCAGTACTCTTTGGACCTGATTTTCTAATGGGCATGCACAACTGCAAGTGTTGTGATTGTGCATACAAACTGGGTGACAGAACATACAAATGGCCAGCTAAATACCTAGCTGGCCATTTGCACATGCAGACACCAAAATGAACATGTAACTGGAGTAACAGCACAGAATTATTAGGCTTGCAGTTTGGCATGCATTTCTGCAAATCAGACTTCCTGCTTTACTTGAAAGGTACCCTACTACTGTATCATCTTACAATCTCCCTATGATGGGTCAATAACTCTGTTTAGTAACATATTTTGGGGCTGATCCAGAAGCTTTTCCATGTATTTAACAGCTGCAGGATTGGGTCCTTAATCAGCAAATGCTTTGTCTAATCAAATGTCTCTAATTGCATGAAAGCTAAACGTTAAAATGCACAATCGCTCTGTTGACAAAAATAAAACCATAGCAATTACATACAATCTCAATGTTACAAATGGCATCTGTTATTTTTCTTCAACCTCCAAACACAAGAAAAAGAAACAGGGACCCTGTTTGCTTTCAATTAAAGCAGACATCTTATTAAGGGGGAGGAAAATACAACACAATAATTTCTTAAAACGCTGAAAGGAGATCTGTGAGGCACATTCAACTACCACAGAGTAAATGTTATGGGAGCAAGGGGAAAAAAGCCATGCTACAATACAACCTATTTTTTCCAATCCTGTAGCATTCTTCATACCTAGCATCCTTAAATGTTTAAGAGAGTGACTTTTGTTGGTAAAGCTGTTGTCCTAAAACCATCTCTCTTCTAGCAATTTTCACCCGAAAGGATCCTAAGAATGATTTAGAAACGGATATGTAAACAGATCACTTCAGTCACTACTGGAATATGGCCACCTCTGGGTGAAAAGTGCCCACTTCAGTAGTTGGCAATACTAAACGCAAGTTTACTGAAGCATACCCTTCTCATTTGAAAAGGCAGCTGAATGCAATTAGTCAACGTGGAACAAAGTCCTCAACATTTCCAGAGGGCTATGCAAATATTAATGCATCTGAGTGGTCAGGACGCAGTTTTATAGCTCCTCTGGAAGACTGCACCTGCAGAGGCAGCACTTTCTAGGACCACGCTGGCCTACTGATTCAGTCGTGATCCAGTAGGAAGAACACTGCCGCCGCCGCCGCCGCCGCCACCACCTAATCCTGTGTAACACCATGGAGTTCCTTCCAGGGATCTCCCACAAAACAGGCTTAACCAGACTGTGCTTCACTTTTGAGATCTGATGGGATAGGTCGTATTAGAATATATATTTAATCCGCAGAAGATATTTTGAAAAAGTGGGAGTAAGCGATGTATGATGTCTCTAAGAAACAGTTATAACAACGTGGGGAAAAAGGGTTTCAACCATTTCTCTTTTAAAATACTGCTCTTGTAGTGTCATGGAAGAATAAAGTCATATTTTGGTTTCCTGGCTTTTCATACAAAACATAATGATATTTATATCCTAGGAACATACTTAAAACACTATTCAGCTAGATGCTTTGTTTGAAGAGGAAGTTAAAATGAGAGGTATAATTTCACCCTAGACCAATGGGGGGAGCTGTTCAGGGCAGCTCCCACTTGGCAGAAAAGTAATGCCACTTCAGAATGAGAACAGGTGGAGAAAGGAAACCGGACCTTGAAGAAAAGAACGGGCTTTCAACTTGATTGGGGGAATTTCCCCCTTTATTGGTGAAACCTCAGTAAAGAGAAGCCCAATCCAAACCAGGTTCAGGATAAGTCAAGGGTTAGAGGAGCTCTGCAAGGAAAGGAAAGCCCTGCTCAAGGAAGCGAAGGAGGCACCAGAGCGAACAACTCTTTCAGTGATTGTTATTACAGTAAAGTTCTGTTCAGCTTCCCAAGTGAGTGGGTGTTGCTGAGTATTCCTGCCAACCCTCCTTTCTGTTCAGAGTGCAATATTCACTCCCTTCCTCCCACAAATCCTATTTAGATTTGTTGCCAGAACGAACACATGGCTTCCTGTAGTTTAATCTAATGCAGTGCTAGCAAACCTGCCATTTCTGCACATCATTCTTAGCAGGAAAATAGGGACGTGAAGTGCCCGTGCTGGCGCCAAACACACTGCGACTTCTCTGTCCTTTCTCTCTCACCCCACCCATTTGCCTCTTCACCCTCCTCTTCTCTCTGCATCTGTCTCCATTCTCTCACCATCCTATTGTCTGTAAAAGAAATGGGGCAATGTTTAGGCCAGCCAAGCCACCAGAGTGCACCTGGACGAGTGGAGCACAGCTCACTGGAAAGCAGGGCAGGTAGCCAGCAACACACATTTGACTCCACAAACAAGCACGTTGAGGAGAGTGCTGTAAATTAAGTAATATTCTTTCCTGCTTAAGGACAAGTTAGACCAGGTGCTTTAGTGCCTCTGTTGGCTGCCTGTTCTGCTTTGTTTTCATTCTAGCATTTGCAATTTATCTTTCTGAAAGGAGTTAGTTAAGGCTCAGTTGGTAGGACTGTCTTCTAATCCAAAAGACTTTGTGGTAAAGTCTCTCTTCAGAATTCAGGCTAATGTCTGACACTACAGCACAGTATTTTGAGAGGAGGTAGCACTGCTCACAGAGAACTCAGTCACTAAAAATCAAGTCCTGTCAGATGCTCAGTGCCCTCATCTACTGATACAATCAATGGCTGATCAAAAATAAAAATAAAAAAAGATAAGGCACTTGTCACCTGTCATGAGGTGCTCTGCACCTTTAAGAAACGGGCTCCAAATCTACAGACGTAATAGCATAGTTCACTTATACATCTACTACTTATTTCTAAAAATGTATGATTAAAATGGAAGCAATGTCTGGAGGGCCCTAAAAATACTTTGGTGAAAATGAAATTAAAGTACATTGCTTTAAAACAATCAGACTGCGATCATATTTGCTCCCAGCAATGCAGTTTCTTTTAATTATATTTCTTAAAACATCATAAGTCAACCTTTAGTAAAAACTTAACTATTAAAATATAAAACTAGTTACACTAATTGTGTTTTCAAAAATTTAAATCCAAGTTCATGTATTCACCATACCAGATTAAAAGTAGTATAAATTTGCACATAATTGAAATGGCTTGGAATTGAAGCTTTACTTCTTTATATTGAAGCCCTAGTTCAGTACAGGAGCAACTGCTACTTTAAGCCTTATTTTGACCTAAACTTTAAAGTAATCCAATATACATTCCTGTAAGACTATTTGTTTAAAAAGTCGTAAGAAAGACACCTGTGACTGCTTATTAACAAGGACGGGCAATTGTTAACAGGAGACTCTGTAGTACTTTTGTTGCACGTAATATCCCCATTTTTGTTCTATAGACAAGAGAAACTGTTAATAGCACTAACATTTAAATGCCTACTAACAAATCACTGCTATCAAAAGATGACCTGCACAGCAGCCTGCAAAGGCAGCTTCCTAGTTTGCCAAGTAGGTGCCTAAAATAATTACACTACTTCGGAAGAGCCAGCTTTTTGGGGCTTCAGAGGCTAACAAGCCATTGAGCATGGAAATGTACCTATATTTAGGATGCTAAAGAAAGTAGCATGGTAAGTTGCTGAGGCTCAATTTTATCCTTTAACACGCTTCATTCACAATTTCCAGGCCTACTCAGAGATATCCTCTTCCAGGTAGCTACCACTTTCAGGTGAATAATGCACATCTGTAGGTGTATAGGAAGAGAAGCTGCAAAAGATGCCATTAGGTTTTATAACAGGAGGAGAACAAGCCGAGAAGGAAGGGAAGAGAGGCACTGAGGAAGAAAATAAAATGTTTAGAGGCAAAAATAAATCCTTCCTTGGGTGTCATATGTTACTTTACAAGATATCGGAATAGTACAATTTATGGGACCCACTGTGATATCAAATACTCACAACCATTTAATCATGTTTTCAATCACTAAAGGACTGGGACATGGCAAATTAGATTTGAGGGAGACTGGCAGATATGTCTGTGGAAGTTTGTGTGATGCTTGCCCACACTATGCATGGCTTAAATAGTGATATCAACATTGCTGGATAAATAAATTACAATATTTCCAAGACAGACATATGTAATAGTCAGGGCATAGCTGTATACCATTTTTCAGATGGATGTTTAGCAAACCCAGGTACAACTCTCATGCAATTAAGAGGAGTGTAAATTCCTCTATGGTAGAAATTATGCATTTACAAAGAATTCATTGTCACTCATTTTTTACTGAATATCTCTTTCGAGACAGATTTACTAACATGCATATTGAATTACAGCAGCCAGAGGTGGAAAAGACCTATTAAGGTCATCTAATCTGACCCCCTGCCAGTGCAGGGTTGATGGATGTGATTTTGAAAAACTACATCGTATTCTAACACATACTTAATGTTTTCTTTGGTCGAAGTCTCAAGATTCACATTAAATGTAACAGGAGAGGAAACTGACACTTAAAAATTAAATTAGAAATAAAGAAAAACAGAGCAATAAGATTACTTCAGTATCTCAAAAAATAAAAAGATCTGTTAGAATCATAGAATATAAGGGTTGGAAGGGACCCCAGAAGGTCATCTAGTCCAACCCCCTGCTCGAAGCAGGACCAAATCCCAGTTAAATCATCCCAGCCAGGGCTTTGTCAAGCCTGACCTTAAAAACCTCTAAGGAAGGAGATTCTACCACCTCCCTAGGTAACGCATTCCAGTGTT